TAGATGTGTGCCAAACTTGGGAAATGACGGAACCTTGGACATACTGTGAGTTTTCACGCCCCTTGTCAAGCTTAGCTTGCAGTTCACATTTCATCCATCATCCAGTTTGAAGAACATCCCTCGTGCCCTGCATGTCCAAGATTTTTGTGTTCCCCTAACACATTAAAGGAGCGCTTCTCTGCATGGAACAGCCTCCAGGCTGGCATGCCTTCCCTATGCTGAGCTCTGCAAGTGCGGGGACTTGGGTACATCTGGCAGATGGATTTCACTCTGACAAGGCAGAGCGAGAGGATTAGATCTTCGGGGCCATGTTGTGAGCTGGCTGAGCTACCTTATCAAACATCTCCACCTAAAATGGCTGCCCTTACAGCTCATAGGGTCTGTGGCTCGTCGGCGCTCAAGAGGACAAAACATGCTCTGCCCCTTGTTTGTGGTGCAGTAGTACTCCTCTTTACTTATGGTTCCCTTTCAACAAGGGAAAATGTCCCAGAAGCAGCTAGAAGTTAAGAAGAATGGTTAGGAAACGGTTAGCTCTTTCAGCAAGACGGCATGGGGAACGGAGACGAGTGTTGGGCAGGCTTTGCTTATTCTCTCCTCCGCCCGTCTTCACTTCTTGTTATGTCAGGCAGAATCAGCCAGAAAGTAGTAGGAAAACTATTTCAGAGATGTTAAATACACTCATATTACTTAACTGAGCAGGTTGCAAAGCTGAACTTCCTTCCCCGACAACAGAACAACACAAAAAACCACCCTGTTCCGATTATAGAAATTATTTGAATACTTTTAAGCACTTATAAGGGTCATGTGGTGGTTTGTGTTAGATGTCAGGTCACAGAATTATATAGTCAAGCATTCTGGTTCATGTTATGATTTTAATTAAATTGAATTGAGACTAATTTGCAAATTCTAAAACACCATATGTGAAAATATGTGAGAAATGGCAGCATTAGCGTTCAGTTTGAATGCCGCAAAAAACACATCTAAAATGGGAAAGAGCTGTCGTGCGATTGTGCAAATACATTTAACATGAAATAGGAGCTATCTCTTTAGAGACTGCCGAAAACTAAAGTAAGTATCGGAAGTGGATTAGTCACGTATGGCCAATGCCCGATTCGTCAAATAGTTCTGAATCGGCTCCGATACTGATCTGAATATCTCTATTTTGAAGTTTCCATTCTTGGTGTAAACGTACTCAAGTCACCTCTTCCAAGAGACCGATGTTACTGTAGTCAGTACATCCAGACAGCTCTTATGACCACAGCTATATTTAGGAAGCGTTCTGGCTTTTCTTGTACATCATGTCCTTCAATGTCAGTTTCAAGATGACATACTTTCGGATAATGCCGTTTTGAAATTTAAATGCTTTATGCTATCTATCTATACTAATCAGTTGAGATGAACAGATTACATGAGTAATCAACTACTGGTTTAAATTCAAGGAAGATATATATTTTTTTTCCATAAATCATCTTTATGTGCAAAGAACTTTTGGCCCCATTGGTGGTTGGTCTGGCCAATATGGACCAAAAACCGTACCTCAATATTTTTAGCAGAATACTGAGAAGCGATTATATTTTCATGTTTTTCCAGAAGTGGGCTAAATGTTCAGTTTTGTCAAGAGCACATGTGAGATGTCACAAACACATTCATTAAAACAGTGTGTGGCCAAATGAGATTGAAATACAGGGTTTTCTTCCCTGTTTGCAAATATATAACTAACTATTCAGTATAAATATTTCCTTTATTCCAATCACAAGTTTCAAAATAAAGACAAAATGATTTATGCCAATATCAGTGTTGCATGGATCAAATAAAGCAGCTGTGAGTAAAAGCATTTCACTTCATGTCCAGTAACAGTCTTTGTCCCCCTCAGTTCAGGATATTGCCCTCAAAACAGAAGGTGAATGTTGAGGAGCAGAAAAAGATCTCTAAATCTAAAACCTATTTGGCTAATGGCTCTAAAAATGGAAGCCTCATAACCATTGTAAGTGCGCTTAATAAGATTCTCAAATTAACCTCATCCTATAAACAAATATTTCAAATTACAATATTTTAACAATGTTTTTAAACTAAATGAATTGGATAACAATGTTTCCTGATGTTTCCCCTCAATTAGCTTCCCCATGAGACACTGCTAACTGAATGGTTTGATTTTAGCTGTGAATTCTGTGCGACATCACTACCGAAGCTCTCGCGTTGTTTACAACCAGGAAGGAATACTATTGGTCTCTTAAAAATCTTTAATAGAGCCAAATTTTATAGCACAATGTATGAGTATCAATATAAGCAGTATTGTGTCATCCTATATCTTGTTTTGAAAATATATCGATATGCTGTTTAAAAAAAAATAAAAAATCATTATACTGCCTAGTACTAATTGGAGGTACTGAGTGGTACAGTGTGCATTTGTATTGTGTCCAGTCATGAAATGAAGGTAGGCTCTTGTGTACCAGTAAGACCAGGAGCCTACAGTCAGAATGGGCTTAGGTCATTGCAGAGCAAGTGATTTATTTATTTATTTATTTATTTATTTTAAAACACAATTAGTAAATAGTATGATATGGAATTTTAAGTTAATGTCAGTTCAGTACATACTGTCATGGCACATACTGTAGGAGTCAAAGTTGAAATACAGACTGTACTTTCAGAGCTGGGTTGCGACAATGCTGGGATTGCAGCTGGGTTGCGACACTCCTCTGTCAAGTAAAAATGGTGACATATGGAAGGCAAGGTGCTAAAAGTCTCTCAGGCAACTGCTGAAGAATTTGAATTCATCAGAATATCAATGTCATATTTTAGACGACAGTCTATTCATAATGAAATATCACTCCAGTTTGCCAGTGAAGTTTGGCTAGAGTTCTTTTTGTATACAACCTTTGATACTGAACCTATGGACTACACTTACGGTGAGGGAAATAATTATTTGACCCCCTGCTAAATTCTTAAATTGACCCATTAATAAAGAAATGAGAATTCTATAACTTCACTGGTAGGTTTATTGTAAGAGCAAAAGATAGATCAACAAAATAAGCCAGAAAAATCATTATGTAACAGTTACAAACCAATTTATCATTTATCTAGGGAAATAAGTAGTTGATCCCTTGGAACACGTGCTTTAGTACTTGGCGTAGCCATTGTTGGCAAGTCGGATGTTTCTTGTAGTTGGTCACCAGGTTTGCACACAGCTCAGCAGGAATTTCCATCCACTTCTCTTTGCAGATCTCCTCCAAATCTTTAAGGTTTTTAGGCTGTAACTTGGATAGACGAGGCTTGAGTTCCCTCCATAGGTTTTCTATGGGATTAAGGTCCGGATACTGGCTAGGACACTCCATGACCTTAATCTGCTTCTTCTTGAAGCAGCTTAGGGTTGTTGTCTTGCTGGAAGACCCACCCACAATGCATTTTTAGTGCCCTGGCTGAAGGAAGGAGGTTCTCTTCCAAGATTTTATGCTACATGGCCCCATCCAGCTTTCCTTTGATGCAGTGCAGCCGTCCTATACCCTTGGCAGAAAAACACCCCCAAAGCATAATGCATCCAGTAGGGATGGTGTTCCTGGGGTTACAGTCAGCATTCTTTCCCCTCCAAACACAGCGAGTAGAGTTGATGCCAGACAGCTCGATTTTGGTCTCATCTGACCACATCACATTCTTCCAAGCCTCGTTGGAATTATTCCGGTGTTCTCTGGCATACTTCAGATGGGTCTGAACATGGGCCTTCATGAACAGGGGTACTTTGTGAGCACTGCAGGATTTCAAACTATAGCTAAATACTGTGTTACCAATGGTTTTCTTGGCATCCGAGGTCCCTGCTGCTTTGAGATCATTGACAAGCTCCTCCCGTGTAGTTCTGGAGTTAGCCCTCATAGTTCTTAAGATCATTGATGCCACACAAGACGAAATCTTCCTTGGGGCCCGAGATCCAGGGTGGTTGACAGTTATTCTGTCTGTCTTCCATCTGCAAATAATTCCACCAACAGTTGTCACTTTCTCACCAAGCTGCTTGCTGATGGTCATGTAGCCCATTCCGCCTTTGTCAAGGTCAACAATCTTGTCTCTGACGTCCTTAGACAGCTCTCTGGTGTCTCTCATGGTGATGAGATTGAAGATCTAGAAAGGCTAGTGACCAAAGAATACTCTTTAAACAAAGTAATGCCATTAAATGTGAATGCTGGCTTGGTATCTGTTAATAAAGTACTATTTGTGTTGTGTTAATTTCTTGCTGACTTGTAGGGGATCATACTTATTTCCCTAGATAAATGGCAAATTGATTTGTATCTGTTACATAATGATTTTTTCTTGTTTTTTGTTGAAAATCTATCTTCTGATGTTGAAATAAACATACCATTGAAATTATGGACTCCTCATTTCTTTATAAATGGGTGAACTTAGGAATTCAATGGGGGGTCAAATAATTATTTCCCTTATATGTATGTTACACAACAGATTATTAAAGATTCAGGTCTGGTATGGCCATTTATCTTCTGATTTTGGGTGGTTCCGTTCTATCCAAAGGATCCCTAAGACAGGCTGTGAGTGTGAAGAATTACTGTCTTAATTTTGGAGTCCTGACAAACCTAAGCTGTATTTCCTAATGTAACTAAGCTGCAGAGTGTTTCAAGGTGCTAGAATAAACCAATAATTCATCCTCATGATTTTGTTTAATTTTTGGAGATAAATAGTGCAGGTAATTGTAACACACTTGGGACATGATGATCTACAGCATTAGTTCTCAGTTCCCCATGAGGGGAAGAACCTCGTAATTTTAATGATTGTTTAAGCTACTCCTAAAGTACAGGGGTAGGGTGAGCATAGATCCTACCCCAGGGCACAAAAGTCTCAAGGCAAGGCTAAAAACCAAGCTTGTAGATACTTTCCTCTTAATGATCACAATTTCAGAATCACAATTCATTGATGGTGGTGTTGATTCCTCTGGGAAGTCTTTTGACTTCTGTATTTCTGGAATTCATCTTCAGTGAAAGTGTGTCGTCTTTGTCTGGCAGTTTTCTGTGGAAGTCCAGAGTGATGGAAGTTCTACAGTGTGATGGCTGCCATTTCCGGGCTGATTCATACGATGACCTCAAGGCACACATCCAGGATGTTCACACAGCCTTCTTGCAACCCACAGCGGTCGGAGACAGGAGCCCAGAGCATTCTGGGTCCAACTCTCTCAACTCGTTCCACCAAACCGAGGACGACGAGCAAGCCGGTATTATCTCATCGGACTGGTTGATATTGCTCAGGAATGGGTAAAATATATATATATAGCAAATGTATTTCCATAAATGTTTTAAAAATATGTATTTGGTTATAAATACAAAATACCCATTCATGATTGTTTTAAAATACAAAAAATAGTGTTTTAAAAATATTTGATTTGATTTTGAAACAACAATATTCGTTTGCAAGTATTCTTGAGGGATGGTTAGTCAGGTTATTTTTTTAGTGCCTAATCAACATCATAGAAAGCTCAGTTTATTGCTTTTTTTTAACAATAGAAGACAATGATTTTTGTATTACCCGTTGAGGTTTTAACCAATCCAATAACCAAGTATTAAAAGACATTTTAATTCTTTTTAACTAAGCATTATACCCCTTTAGGTTTATCTCTTAGCTTGTTTAATCTATTTGTATAAGTACTGGTATGGGTCAATTTCAACGGTTTTATTTTCTTTTTAGCTTTGACATTAGCTTGTAAGCTGAACCGCACAATGTGGAATGTGGAGTATGACAGTTTTCTCGTGGACATTTTCTTTGCCGTTTTATTAAACACTTTAACTTGCAAAACAGAGCACTGAGGTGCAAGTATACTTTATGCAACTTCCCAAGTCAACTGAAAATGTGTAACTTCTGTTAATATCCCAACTGAGCTTGAGTTACTATGATTGTGTTTAGAGATAATATGTCTGTGTTTTTTCTCAGAGCTCCATTCCTTGGACCTGGACCCTGAACCTTTTACTGGTTCATCACAGACTACTCACAAACGATCAGTGAACCAGCCCTCTAGGTCTACAACTCAGTTTTTCCAGTGCAAATTTTGTGTACGTTACTTTAGATCGAAATCACTCCTTAACGATCACACCAAAAGGGTGCACGCAGTTGTCAGTACAGCATCTGAGGGTAGTTCATCACCCCCACAAACCTCTAAGCAAACTAGCTACAGCATTCTCATGCATGACGGTATGAGGAAGGTGTTCTCCTGCCAGTACTGCACATACAAATCTCCTCGACGTGCTCGAATTTTGAAACACCAGAAGATGTTTCATAAATATATGCCTTTGGACTCTCCTGATAATGAATTAGCCACAAATTCAGTTATGTTGCCTACCCAGGAAGCTAGTCTGGAATTACCAGAGGAGGTAGTACAACGTAGTATTTTGGAATCAATGGTCAAACCTCTTACAAAATCCAGGGGAAACTTTTCCTGTGAGTGGTGCGGATACCAGACACTTCGACGAGAGCGCTGGTGTGATCACATGATGAAAAAACACCGTAATATGGTTAAGATAATTTCGTCAATTCAAGATGGGGATACTAGTATTGATTCATCCAAAACCAGCTCACTTCATTCTCCCAGTAGTAGTCCTAATTCTGGATTGCCATCCAATAGCTTTAATGGTAAAGACGTGTCATCTGTTGATACTGGCTTTATGGGCTCCTCCGAAAGTGCAGCACGGTCCACCCCTGGACAAGGGGATGATTTTTCATCTTACGAGTATTCTCAGAAGAAATCTAAGATAGCTAATAGTACAGGAACCTCTACTTTATCAGAGAGACCAACATTTGTTATGTCTGATGTATCTAATTCAGGAGTGGACTTTGAGAAAAGAAGTTTACCGGGAAGTAGCTCAGATGATGAAGCAGAAGATATGGATGATACTCTTGCTCATTTATCTGATGATTCTAAAAAACAGCTGCTGTCTGATGAGGAGTATAAGATGCTTGAAACAAAGGGAATACCATTCAAAAAGCATATGAACAGATTCCAGTGTCCGTTTTGTTCGTTCTTGACCGTGCATCGTCAGAGCATTTCTCGTCACATTGAAAAAATCCATCTCTCTGGCAAGAAGACTCTATACAAATGTGACAAATGTCCTTTCATATGCACTAATCCACTCAGACTTGGCACTCATAAGCAGTGTCATGTGGAGACATCCTCTGAATGGGAAAACATGGATGACAGCCTGTACATTCAAGATGAAGAGCCAATGAATGGAGGAAATGTCAGCTCCAAAGTCTCTAGCAAGAAATCCTGTGGAGTAGCAGTAATCGATCCAGAGAAGTCCTATCACTGCTCCCTCTGCAGCTACTCTACAACCACACTGAAAGGACTTCGTGTTCACCAACAGCACAAGCATTCTTACTGTGACAACATGAAGGCAGACACTCTTGACGGTTCACCAAATGAGCAGCTGGACTCTGAACATGAAATCTATAGTTCTTCAAGCTATGTGAAGAAGACCCAAACATCTATTCTTGGATTTTCGTCAAAAAAGCTTGTCAATAAGAGTGCAAGGAAATCAATCAATGACTCGCCCCTCGATTTATCTCCGGTTAAGAAGAGAACCAGAATAGATGAAATTGCAAACAATCTGCAAAGTAAAATCAGCCAAAGCTCACAAAAGGAGGAGGCCATTATTAACCTAGAGGAGATAGATGATGAAGAGGAAGAAGAGGAGAATGGTGAAAATGAAACCGACGAAGACAAAGTTGATATTGAAGTCACGCAACTGTCAAAGAAACACTGCATCTCTCGGCCACGTCGGAAGTACTCCAGAGAGATGAAGGATACCCAAGAGGAGGGAAGACAGAAGCTCTTCCTTCATGAGAAACTGAAGTCTAGCAACACATTGATTCAGTTGACTATTTCAGATGATGATGACAATGAAAATGAGTGTGCCTCTTCAGCTGGGTCTAAAAGCTTGCTGGATCAAGCTGAAAAAGACAGTGGAGGGGAGGCTTTCCGGCATGGCAGTGATTACAGTGATGACACAGCCACCCTATTTTATTGCAAACATTGCGAGTATCAAAACAAATCAGCACGCAGTGTCAGCACTCATTATCAAAGAATGCACCCATATATCAAGTTTAATTTCCGATACATTTTAGATCCTGAAGATCAGAGTGCTGTTTTCCGGTGTTTAGAGTGCTTTGTAGAGTATACAACCTTTGATGATCTTAATCAGCACTACGTGGAGCATCACCCTGAAGCCATGAATGTGCTAAACTTCAATCAGCCGGATCTGGTATATAAGTGTCGTTTCTGCTTGTACACCAGCCCAAACGTTAGAAGTTTGATGCCACATTATCAAAGAATGCACCCTACGGTGAAAATAAACAACGCCATGATTTTTTCCAGCTATGTTGTTGAGCCACGTCACAAAGATTCCATTGAGTCACAGACACTGAGGGAGATTTTAAACTCTGGTCCCAAGAACTTCAGTAATTCTTCAAGTGGATCCAGATCATCTGTGCAATTTAGTCCAGTCCATAAGAACTCCAAAAGTCAAGAGTACCACACAGAGACAGAAGTCATGAAAGAATCTGTGGTTAACAATGTAGTGGTCTACGACTGTGACATCTGCTCTTTTGCCAGTCCAAACATGCATTCTGTCCTGGTTCATTACCAGAAAAAGCATCCAGAGCAGAAGGCATCGTACTTTCGTATCCAGAAAACAATGAGGATTGTCTCTGTAGATAGAGCTCAAGCTTCAAATAATGACACACCTGATGCGAGTGCCTCTAATTCCTTGAAGACATCAAATGTGATTCCTATGGGAATGGATGAAGATATTTACTACTGCAAACACTGTGTGTACAGTAACCGGTCAGTTGTGGGTGTGCTTGTTCATTACCAAAAGAGGCACCCAGAAATAAAGGTAACTGCAAAATATATCAAGCATGCTCCCCCTACCTCTGGTCTAATGAAGTTAATGGAAGAATTGCAGATTGCACCACCTAAACAATTCTTGAAATCAGCCAGCAATAATGGGGTAGGTAATTCTTCCCATACCAAGTCTGGTGGTGACAAAGGAGAGGTGGAAATGCTGTATTTTTGTCAGCATTGTGACTATGGGAACCAAACTGTCAAAGGAGTCTTGATCCATTATCAGAAAAAACACAGAGATGTGAAAGCAAATGCTGATCTGGTTCGAAGACATACTGCCGTAGTGCGGAGTCAGCGGGAAAGAGCTCAGTCCAATAATTCATCTGTCCCTGCTGCCATTTCTGATTCGGAGGCGACGAGGCCACTTCGGGCCTTAAAGTGCAGGCACTGCACTTACACATCTCCTTATGTATACGCTCTAAAGAAACATTTAAAGAAGGACCACCCAACAGTGAAAGCTACAGCCATGACAATTTTGCACTGGGCTTATCAAGATGGCATATTGGAGGCTGGGTACCACTGTGAGTGGTGCATCTATTTCCATCCAGAACCAAATGGACTTCTCATGCATTACCAAAAGCGTCACCCTGAGCACAATGTGGATTACACGTACATGGCCACCAAGCTATGGGCAGGACCCGACACCACAGCCTCTCAGTCAGTAGGAAATGCTGACTCCAAGCATTACCAATGCAAAGATTGTGCCTTTCAAGCCTGTTCCATCTGGGACATCACCAACCACTACCAGGCTGTTCACCCTTGGGCTGTCAAAGGTGATGACTCTGTGCTGCTTGATATCATCAAAGGTAACTTGTCCTCAGAAAAGAGGCAGACTTCCACAAAAGAAGATCTCTCCCTTATTTCCGGCCAGTTTAACAGTCATGCTTGTGAGCAGGGCCAAGAACCGTCATTGGATCTCACGGGGCAGCTGACAAAAATCGTCTCACATCAGTCATTTCCCAGCACATCAATTTCAAATAACCCATATCAGTGTACTGTTTGTTTCTCAGAGTACAACAGCCTTCATGGTCTTCTAACCCATTATGGCAAAAAGCACCCTGGCATGAAAGTAAAGGCAGCTGATTTTGCACAGGAAACTGACATCAATCCTAGTTCGGTCTACAAGTGTCGCCATTGTCCGTATGTGAACTCTCGTATACATGGGGTGCTGACTCATTACCAGAAGAGGCATCCTCAAATTAAAGTTACTGCTGAGGATTTTGCAGACGACATCGAAGAAGTTATAGATGTTAACGAAGGGGAAGAAAAGTACAAATCTCAGAGGCAGGGGTTTGGTGCTTACAGATGCAAAATGTGTCCATATACTCATGGAACATTAGAAAAACTGAAGATTCACTATGAGAAATATCACAATCAACCGGCTTCAGATATGTTCAGGCCTTCGTTTGCAGATCTTTCTAGCAACATGGATGAAACGCATGTTGAAAGTAGTCTTGCAGATGTGGAAGACGCTACTGATTTTCATGCTGCATTCTCTGAGTTTTCAGTTGACAAAAGTGAAAAGCAATCATTTAGATGTCAACTCTGCAAATATTTCTGCTCCACCAGGAAAGGTATTGCACGCCATTATCGCATTAAACACAACAATGTCCGGGCACAACCTGAGGGTAAGAACAATGTCTTTAAGTGTGCTCTCTGCTCTTATACAAACCCCATTCGCAAAGGCCTCGCAGCACACTACCAAAAGCGGCATCACATTGACGCATACTACACTCACTGCTTGGCTGCGTCTAAGACGGCCACAGAGAAACCCAGCAAAGTGGTGGTGCCTGCAGCTGAAGACCAAGGCCCCATGCTGAGCGAGGAGCTCAGGGCTGCCGTGGAGAAGAGGAAGTGCTCCCTCTGTTCGTTTCAGGCTTTCAGCAGAAAGAGCATCGTCTCCCATTACATCAAGCGTCATCCTGGCGTTTTCCCCAAAAAGCAGCATTCTAGTAAGCTTGGGCGCTTCTTCACTATAGTGTATGACAAGGAGCCCGAGAATCCTGCTGAGGTGGAAGAAAAGAGGGCGACCGAGGAGCCCTGCGTGACGGAGCAGGAGGACGATTCGGAGAGGCTGCCGTTCAAGTGCAGCAGGTGCTTCAAGCTGTCGTTCAACACGGCCGAGCTGCTCTGCATGCACTACACCGAGCATCATAGCAAGGACCTGAAGCGAGACTTCGCCACCCTGGCTGGCCCCATGGGAAATGCCGCTGACAGCTACCAGTGTGCCCGGTGCGACCTCGAGTTCCTCAGCCTCCCAGAACTCAGTGCCCACTTAACCAGCCACAACGAAGACATCCGAAAGCGAGTGGAGCGTCAAGAGAGGAGGAAGAAACAGCTTCTTGGCAAGCAGAAGGGAGCTGGACAGCTGGACGGCACCCCAGAAAAGGTCTGTACCTTTAAATATGAATATACTGTAAATGACCCTGTCTGATGATGATCATGAATTTGGGTAAGAGTTTAGTTGTTGCGATACTTCTTGCAAAGAATCTGTTTTGGTGCTGATGAGCGATGTGTAATTGAAAGGTCACAATTGGATTTAATTTTCGATCTTCAATTTTCTTTTCCATAGCTGGAGAACCATGCCAGTAATGTCCCAATAGGGTACAGGTGCAACTTTTGTGTGGAAGTCCACCCCACGCTCAGGGCTATCTGCAACCACCTGAGGAAGCATGTCCAGTATGGAGAGACCAAGGCAGGCCGTGTGAAGGTGAGGGGTGGCACTGTACCTGCAGGGGTGTCGAATGACGTCCTCGTCACATTATCAGGCTTCTGAACTTGTCAGTCATTGTGGTTGTGGTTGTTACTGTTTTTTTTTTTGCTTTTGAAAGTTACTCCATCTCTCTGGTGGCTCTGACTGTTGTCCTGTGGTGGGGAGGAGGGTGTGTTAATCCCAGTGAGAAGGTGCCATTGCCTCAGGGGTAGTGGGTAATGGTAGGGATTTAACCATTCTTCACTGGAGCCAAAGGGCTGGAAGATGGAAACAGAGGAAGGGATTTGAGGTTCATCTGGTACTGAAGCCAAACTGGTTTCTGCAAGCTAAGCCAAATGTTTCTGTATGCTGCATGACTGTCCAGAGGCTTTTTTGAGAGACTGTGGAGTGATTTAAAGGAACGCACTGGGTAAAAGTACATGTGGTATTTTAAGAGTTTGCAGTCAAGTGCTGTGACTAGAATAATGATCTTTTCCTGATGTGATTTTATATAAATTAGGTTTCGCTCACACAGCAGGGCTGGCAAGTTTGCCAGGAGTTCTAGTGTTTTCGTTGTCATAAGCAGGTCAAGTTGTGTTGCGCTTATTTTTTCATCCAGATACATGAAGTTACTCTTAAACCAAAAAAAAAAGTTTGTCTCTGAGGGACTGCAAATGCTTTTTTGGGATTCTTCCTGGGTGAGGGGAGAGGATTGCAGCCAACTGGGGCCACGGGATGGAGCACGTAGCTTATTCACCTGCTAAACTCAGGCCCCAACTCGACAGCGATTATTTGAACATGACTTGAGCTGAGGTACACAATGGGTGGTTCGATTTTTACAGCCGCACCCCCCTGTAAACCGTGAGAAACGTTCCTGAAAAGGTGTCGTTTGAAAACTGGCTGTATGGGTTGGATCGCTCTTTACTGTTCACACAAACCATTACGTCAATGAGCAGAATCTTGAACTTGTAGTAGTTGTAGATGGTATAGTTGCATAAAACACATCTCATTAATGTGGGGAAAAATGTGAAATGCAATAAAAGCAGTAATCCTGGCAGCTGAGACCTTTAGCTATAAATACAATGAACTGCTCCTTTCCAATTATTTTCCACCTTTTTTATTAGCATGAAGTACCAGAAATACCAGTGTCTGCACCAGCCGACGGAGAACCGAATGGTGACTTGGAAGAGGCGGAGCCAGTCACCCTCGGGTTGAGTCCAGTTTCGCCTGAGGCAGCCGCTGCCGTGGCAACTGACGGCAAGCCCGGAATGCCGGAGCCAGAGCACGGATCGGGCGAGCTGGTGGCCGTCAGGGAGCGGCGGGTGGAAAAGCACGCGTGTGGCCAGTGCGACCGCGTGTTCATGTCCATGCAGGGCCTGCGTTCACACGAGAGGAGCCATTCGGCAATGGCGGCAGCCCTGAGCAGGCGGGAAGACAAGTACATCTGCCAGTACTGCCCGTTCAGCTCCCCCTTCAGGCACAAGTACGGAAAGACAGCCAGAGACTACATCTCTTTCATTCTTCTATCTTGCTGTCTGTTTTCAGTAACCACTTTCGCCTAGAATGTATGCCAAAATACTTAGGGTGAATGACACGGTCCACTGTGGCTGGGATATCTGTCAGTCCGTTGTAATGTTTTCCTTCTCCGTCTCTCTGACTCTCTCTCAATCACACATAAAGACAGACACAAACACACCCATTAATTTAGGATGACTCGCTAAAAGCATTCTTCCATTATTTGTTTTACGAGTCCTCATCACAAATCGCCGAGGTGAAGTTGGAGTTCTCAGAGGAGACGCACTTGGGCGTAATGAGAAGATGCCCACGGCTGGCGGCAGATTCATACCCGCATCTACAGGATGATGGTCCTGCTTGCCGAGCCTCTGTGCTCCCAGTCGTCGCTTTAATGGTGTCAGCTTTTTCCCCCTATCTCTCGGCGGTCCGATATGACTTGTGTAATATATTACTCTACCTGCTTTCACAGCCAGTATTTAAATCAAGCGTATTCAGGAAGAGGCTTATTTTCCGATACGTGTGAAACTGCACATTCATTCAAATTCTTAATTGCTTTTATGCCCACTTTTTTTTAATTATTACATTAGCCGGTTGTGTTTGGTTTATTTAAATTTTTTTGGCTTTGTGTCTTCGGAAGATTTAGCTACAAATATTTCATGTTAAATGTTGACTACATTTGGAAGGTGTCTCCAGTTGGCACTGAGGTCATGTTGGTGCTGTTGGGTTCATGTACAAACATGGGGCCAATCCAGCAGGGTGTGATATGATGAGGAACTAATTACTGCCAGACAGTCATACATTTAAAATAGGAAACGCAGGTAGCAGTTTTAATGTGATGGCGAGAAAATGGATGGATGACGCACGGATGATATGGTGCGATGGTTGTCGCCACAAGGTTGGGCACTGCCGGCTTTTTGCTGTTGACGCTCTTTCCTCCGTCTCTTGTGCCCCCGTGCCCGTCCTCAGCCTCCAGCGACACATTCTGTCCCACCATCGACACCGCAAGCCCTTCCTCTCCAAGTCTGCCTACCTGAGCCGTTTCAAAAGCCACCTGAACAAAGCCCATCCAGGTGAGAACACCGCGACACAGAATATCCCGTTAAATATCGCGACCTCTACGGTCGGCCTTTTCATAGTGCGTATTGGCTCTGCAGTGAGAGCACGGATTAAGCATGAGGGCGTATTCGATTTGGGACCATTTGATTGATTTATGTGGCGTGCAGTTTATATCACATAGCAAAGATTTATCAACATTACAAGTATATCGACAAGACAATTAACACTTAATGCTGCAAAATATTACAATTTATATGAAGAGAAGCTTCAAAGGCCAAAAACCAAGTTTATGTACTAGACCAAAAATTCACTTCTCCATACACACTGCTGTGGTAGATTCAGTTTATAGTTCATATTCAGCTCATATCACAGCTCACTTATTTATCTATTTGCTGAGGTGAGCTGCTGCTTCTTCATGGGCCTTTCTTGTAGGGCCTGGCATTGAAATATTAGATGCTGAACCGGTCGTTTTTCTGCTGTATTTCCCCTTTCTTCATGTGCAAGAAATGGATTGATGGATTTAAGAAGCTTTCCTTAAAATTGCACTGGGTTCGCCTTATAAATAAACCTTGTGATGGCAGCAACTGACTATGGCTTAGAGGCTGTGTGAAATCTCCACGATAGACCGTTAAGTATACTGACGCATTACATCATTTGTTTCCTGCTTCTGTCTGCCATATTAATTAAAGGGAAACGGAAGAGGCAGTCTTGCTGGAATCTTGTTTGCCTTCAAAGGTTTTGCCCGCACCCGAGCTTGCAGTACATTTTGATAATACTATTATCCCTGCTTTTGGAGGGTGGGATGTGGTAGGTGAGCAGAGGTGCTTTGGGGAGGCCAGGGCGTTCTGATGTGATGCAGCAAGATCACATCAAGGTGGTCCTTAGCTGACTGCTGAGATGTAAATCTCTAATGCAGGCATGTTGGTTGTGTTCCTGACCAGGTGAGAACACATACAGGTGCTTGTCTTGCCCTCAGTCCTTCATGACAATCAGCCAGCTGAAGGAACATTCCCAGGAGATCCATGGAGAGGTGCTCACTCTCCCCAGGCTACGTGCTGCCGCTCAGTCGACAGTCCGTCCGCAGCGGCCCGCCCGGGTGGGCGAGAAGCTCCCCGTCACCACCGACTCCACTGGTCAGTACCCTGCAGTGTGTCTGAGATCCTTCTCTCTCTCTTCTTTTTTTGTTGTAACTCACTGCCCAGTTTTATAGATTTTCCTGCATTTACGTGCTTTGCCTCAATGGTCGCCTCATTTGTTAGTTTTGTGCGCAGTGTTGAACTAAAGAGTGATATTTATCACTATGGCAACAACTATGGCAAAATAGGATGTATACTGTAGATTTCGGTTAATAGTTATACAAGTGGATTCTTCGAAAAGGATATTGTCTGTACCTTTCATTAGTCTGAATTATGGCTAAAACCTCATATGGAGAAAAGACTCAATCGTGACACTGTTATTGCCTCTCTTCCAGGAACCTTGCTGACCTATTTTTTTTTATCCAATGGAATTATGTATAAAACTTTAGGGTAAACCATATATTTACTCCGACTTTTGACGTACTGTTGTGAGAATGTGTTTATGAAGCCTTTGGAATTGCGGGTTCCTGCACTCATTTCTCCTCGAGTGTGATCGGATCAGTGTTCACAATACTGATTTGAAGACTGATTTTTAAGATTTTTTTTTTTCTTTCATTTACTCTCTTAAAATTCTTATTGCATCCTTCAGAAAGAAATATTTTTTGCTACTTTGACCCAAGGAGTCTCTGTATGTGCAGTTTTTTCTGTGTCCAATCTGCTGGCCTTTTGGTCAAGCTTACGGGTAATGTCAGTGATATTTTTTTTTATTATTATTTTCTATTTTATGTCCAAAAACAATGAGGCTGCATCACTGGAGAGAAGGTTGTCTATTTTCTTAATGGAAAAATAAGAAATATCAACGTGTACAATCACCCGAGAAAGATGCTGCTCTCATTGCCCTCTAGGAATTATGTGTGGGACTCATCCATAGTTTATCTGCTGAAATTTGACTGTATTTGCCAATGAATGTGAAACCTGGGGACCTCAAATTAAATGTCAGCACGGGTGATTGTAGGGATTAAACCGGAGGGAAAAAAAACATCCTCAGCCTTAAAGCAAAATACATGGTGCGTATTTTAAAACATGAGTCAACCTCAACCAACTGTCAGCACCATGCTGTCTAGAATTTCCCGTGATCCAGGGATATTATAAGTGCCCCAATTGCCTGAGAAGTGGAACCAGATGTTAGGGAATGTTTGTTGATTTTCTAAACTCGCAGATGTGAGGTTGTGAGTTTAGATCCGAAGTAACACAATGCTTTGTCTTTAAAGTAGCTGCTTTAGCCATGCCGAGTTTGCTTCAGTTATTATCCAGAAAGGATGGGTGACCTATTTCCTTCATTTGATAAGAACGACGAAGTTTCTCCTGAATTTGTTCACCTCACAGATGCGACGTATGCAGACCCTGCGGCTGCGCAGCAGCAGCTCGACCGCTACCAGGAGACAGTACAGGCTGCCACACCCAGCCCAGCCCCGACACCTGCGGACGCAGCGCTCACCTGTGAATTCTGCGACTTCAGCTCTGGCTACATGCAGAGCCTGCGCAGACACTACCGCGACCGTCACGGTGGCAAGAAACTCTACAAGTGCAAAGACTGCTCCTACTTCACTTGCTATAAGTGAGTCCATGTTCAACACATACCTAGACTTTTGTGATATTCCGGGGATTTATGCATGAACGGATCCTAAAATGTGATCGTATCTTGATCTGGGTCGTAATAATACAGGTAACTTGTTAAATAAACAGCACACGTTTTTATATTGCCATATCTTTGGCGAAAAATTGGTACAGTCAGTTGGTGTAAAAAGTATGTGAACCTCTAGAATAATGAGCTCTTGTAAGGAGGGTATTTGGAATCGGGTGTTCGAGTAAGTTTAAGTGTGGGTTTGACCTGCTTTGCCTTATGCACCCTGTGTCCCCTTTATGATGTGCGATTAGCTAATAGAAAGCAGGGCTCGATTTTGACTCCAGTTCGCTTTGAGAGTACTTGAGTTTTGTGTTCAACAGCAGCCATTCTGCACATCACTGCTTTTCTGAGCTGTTTTTTTCCCATTTGTGACCTTCCTGTTAGCTTTAATGAGTCTGGCCATTCTCCTCTGACCTCTCATTAGCAATGTGTTTTCAGCAACAGAAATGTCATTGACTTTTTTTGTTCATTATACCATTCTCTGTACACTCCAGACAATGCACTGGAAATCCCAGGAAGGTGGCTGTTTCTGAGATGCTGGAACCATCGCATCTGCCACAAACAATCACACCATGCTCAAAATCTGCTCAGAACACACATCTTAGCTGTTCTAATGCTTAGTCACATTGTAACTGACGACCTCGACCCTGTCAATATGCTGTAGTCATGAGATTCTGGAGGAACAGGATTTTTTGCCTAATGACCTGGACAATGAGTGTAAAAGAAGACACACTTTTGTTAATCTGCTCTTCAGAATTATGTTCTAGTAGTATATGAACCAATTCAGAAGTTCAAAGTAGAAGAATCTAGAACCGGGTTATTCAACTCACTGCTGTTTTCCAGCCTTCCTTTACCTGTCAGTCCGGTGTGAAGCCTCTGACCAATCAGAATCAGTAATTATTAAACTAATTACCTGGGAGAACTGAAAACAAGGCCTGGATTTGGAATCGAGGTCCAGATTTGAAGAACCCTGATCTAGAAAGAGTTACAAAAGAATTTTAGAACGACAGCAAAGAATCTGCAGGCATCTCTTGCACTATATCTGTGTTCATGAGTCTATGTAAAGACTTAAGAGTGATGTTCATGGGTATTAAAGATAAAAAAGCATTGCTGTCCATCTGAACTTTGCTATAGACCATCTATGTTCTACAGCAGTGCTGCAACAATATACTATGGACAGATAAGACCAGAGTTGAATGTTTTGGGAAATGCAAATAGCATTAAGTTTGGAAAAATGCATGACATTGCAAACCGACACTAAAATCTTGTGCCAGTTGTGAAGGACAATGGACAGCGTGTGATTGCTTGGGGCATTGCTTTGCTGACTGCACAAGGACAGACTGCAATCATTGAAGGACCAATGAATACCATGTTTTAACGGGAAGTTCCTCAGCCAAATGTCAGAGTTTCTGTCTGATCTAAACCTCAAATGAAGCTGGGTCATGCAGCAATGACCGTGATCTAAAATACAGGAGTAAATCAACAATAGAGTGGAAGCAGAAGAAACTCCGTAGTTAAAAATGGCCGCAGTTACAGTCCAGACCTTAGTCAAATGAAAATACTGTAGCGTGATCTGAAACAGGCCGTTCAAGCAAGACTTCCCAAAAATGTACCTGAAATTGTTTCAGTTCACGTAGCGGAATGGGGCAGGACTGTGGAGGTCTAATCAGCAGCTGCAGACGAAATTTGGTTGAAATTATAAAGGAGGACGCAGTAGTTGTTAAACATAAGGGTTCACATACTTTTTCCATCAGTAATCATGATTTTTTTTTAAACACCATTTTTATAGAGATGTGGCAGTGCATAATTGCGTGTGTTGCTTGTTAAATAAGAATTTATATATTATGCTTTAGATGATATTTTTGGAGCCATTCATGCAGGAAGCAGGAAAAGGTTAATTTTTCCCCCCAAAAACTTTACGTTCTTAGAATTTGCTTCATTTTTTGTGTGTGTGTAAATGCTTGCTCCCCACGCTGTCAGGGGTCAGTCTTTCCAAAGTGACTGCCTGTTTCCTGTGTATGAAAACGTGCCCGTCGGTGCCACACGCAGGTCGGCGTTCACCATGCACGTGGAGTCGGGTCACACGGCGTTGCCGGTGGAGAGCCTCCGGGATCTGCACTGCCCACTGTGCCTCTATCACACCAAAGTCAAGAGCAGCATGATTGATCACATCGTCCTGCACCGAGGTACACGCTGCCCGGCTCTGCAGCAGGGAATACAGTCTCTTCTTTTACCGGCTCTTTCCCATGGTGGCTTGACAGCTGAAGGAAAGACGGCAGCCCAGGCCTCTCAGTTGACAGTTGATTATCCATTCTTTGACTTTCTTCTTCTTCTTCTCTCTCTCTCTCTCTCTCTCTCTCTCTCTGGCGTGTTTGTTGTCTCCAGAGGAGCGCGTTGTGCCGCTGGAGGTGTCCTGCTCCAAGCTGTCACAGCATCTCCAGGGCGTCGTGTTCAGCTGCCACAAGTGCACCTTCACCTGCTCCGGTGACGAGAGCCTGAAACAGCACCTGAAGAAGCACGGCGAACTGAAGCCATACACGTGTCAGCTGTGTTTCTATGACAGCGGGGAGCTGGAGGAGCTGGAAGCCCACCTGCGTGACGAGCACAAGGTCAACCCCCCCCATGTCGTTTGCATTATTTAAATGTCCAGTACTATTTTTTAGGATTTCAGTGATGTTGGGCACTGCTTTGAGATGTTTGATATGCAAAGTACACATTGAATCCTGGGAAAGCTGTTGCTCCCCCTAGTAATTTGAGCTCAAAGGGGTCATTTGAATCTGTTTTCCTTTGGTAAACAGTCAGGGTTCAACTTTGATCCTAATCTTCAGAATGAAGTTTTCAGCATGTATGTTCTAGAGCAGAGTTCCCCAATTCTGGTAATCTTGAAAACTGGCCCTCCAAGACTGAAACTGGGGAACCCTGTTCTAGAGGCTCATAATTCCGCATCAAAAAGAAATGAAGACCTCTGGGGAGGGGGAAGGCTTGCAAAAGGTTAGGGCTGCTTGTAAGGCTCTGGATTGGATTTGGAGTTTGGCTCCAACTGTGATCTAAAATGAAAAGCAATAACCTGCCCCAGGAATGAGCACCCTGCCAAAGCCAGAGAATAGTTTGGGAAGTCACTAGGAATCTGGCGGTCTGGATGTCCATTGCTCCACAATCACTATGCTAGAGGCTCACTGCTGTATTCTCGATAGTTCTGGAAGGATATTCAATAAACGGACATAATCTGATTCTGTCATTGAAAGGACCGTGAATTCTGTCCCGTACCACAGAAATGTAGAGTAGAATATCAGGCCATCTGTTTGTATGCTAAAGCTAAAGAACAGCTGGGTCATAAAGTAATCTACATGGGTCACTGGGTAACCTGCATCTGTCTGCAAGAGAATGGATGAAGCACAAGAAGCACGTTTTGTGCCATCCTGGGTAAAGTACAGATCTAAACCCCATGTCTACATTAACCTGAACTGAATTATGCTTATGAGCCAATATCAATTAGAGTGGATGTGTGTGTTACTTTTTCAAAAATGTATATAAAAATGTAGCCGCGTCCTTTTTAAAATACGTGTTGCCATTTAGAACGGTGGTCCAGCCGTGTCCTATTACGCCTGGACCCGCAGAATTACATTTTAGGATATTTTTCACCCATTCCATGATAACTCACGGATTTCCCATGATGCACCCATAGGTACCCAAACCCGTGCAGGACATTGATATCATGTGAAGCATGTCTCTGATGGGCCCTTCTCTAGGGGTGCTGTATGCTGGGTGATCCTGCTGTTTGACCCCAAGCTGTCCTCAGTTGCAAGTGGTTTGGGTAAAAGTGTGTGCTAGATTAATTAATGTAAATGTAAGCAGGAAACGGTGGTTCAGGTCCGTATTTAAATGCCTTTCCCTGGTGTATACCGTGCCTGGAGCCAACACTGCATGCAGTAACCTGATGCCTGGCATTCTCCTAAACAGGTGATCTGTAATTTTGAGCTGGCGGGCCGGGTAAACCTCGACCAGCTGGAGGCCGTGATGGGCAAGCTGAGCAGCACAGAGGAGGATGAGGAAGACCGGGAGGAGGAAGAAAACGAAGGGGAGCTAGAAGAAGCTGAGAAGGCTGAAGCCAAAGGTTATTGATGAGCGCAGTGTACAGTGAGAGGGAGCCAGTGCCTGAGGTATCTGTGTGCTAATGATATGTCTGTCCTGCAGACGCTCCTGGCTCCCCGGGTAGTGAGAAGCGCTTCCCCTGCAAGTTCTGTGGTCGGGCCTTCACCAACAGCGCCGAATGGGAACGCCACGTACTCCGGCATGGCATGTATGTCACACTCTGTGATCTCCTCCTCAGTCTGTTTCTTTACCTTCATTCTCTCTCTCTCTCTTTCTCTCTCTCTCTAGGTATTCTTTTCGTTTCCATCGTACTTTCTTGCTCTTCGGCCTGATGTGTTTGCTCTCTCCTGCTGAATTTTCCTATTCCACTCATTCGCAGACAAATCACTGAATTTGTGTTTAGAAAAACAAAGAGAAATTTGACCTGGAGCAAATTGCTAGCAGTATAGAAGCAAAAAATACGATTACGATAAGACGGTTAATGAGATGTGCAATGTGCAAAAACAGGTTGTGCAAAAAAAATACAGTAGCAGTTTATGGTCTGCTAAATTAAGTCAGCAGAGTAACCCATTGTAGTCTTAAATTTCGATTTAAAAAGTTTACATATCAGCAAACTTTAACAATTTGTGAGAGGTCATTTGGTCCGCATGCTGCCCCCTAGCTTCAGATACCACTTATGTTACAGACCATAAACATTTTAAATTGTTTACATACATCACACCTAGTGGCAATTGATATATAGCTAACTCTGCGATGTACATAAACAAAAAAAGATCCAGGGGAAGAGTCACAAAATATCTGTGCTGTTAAGTTTTAAATCACTGATTTTAAAATAATAATTGAGAATACAAAAAAGGGTACAGTGTGAAGTGTCACAGGACAACCGAACTGGTTCCAGCAGTGAACAATTCTCCACTATGTCTTTTAACTGCAGGACTGTAGCCAACAGCAAGATGAAGGTTGGTGCCTCTTCAGTAGCTGAGGCTTCCTCACAGCCTGGGCTTGTATCCCTGACTGCCAAACTGGACAGACCCATCTCCAGCGATAGCATGGAGGTGGACAGTGGTTCTCCTTCAGAGCAGGCGAAGACCTGTACTGAAAATGTGGAGTATGACGAAACAGCAGAGACCAAAAACTGTCCATGAGAGATGCTGGAAGGCAGGGGCTTCGATGGGTATTTGAAGATGGGGAGTCGAAGGAGTTTAGGCTGAAGAGTGGAGGTGGTGGGGTGGGGGGTTGAGGCAGGGAAATCAGCCTGCAACTGCTTTACAACAACTGAGCAATGAAAAGATGCACAGTTGGAAAATAGGTGCATTCTGAAGTCTTACTCATTGAAAGTTACAGGATACTGTGCATCTTTCTTGTAGGTCACAATGTGTATTTTTTTTTCTTTTAAAGTGCTAAAGAGACATTATCTTGGTCCCAGAGGATAAACACTAATATATTGGTAGCCAATAGTGATAGTGAGTGGTACTGTAATGGAGTTCAGGTTGAATTCTCAGTCTGTTAGTACAGTAGGAACATTATTGAGTTCTGTTTCAATTGGAAACCTGTGCATTTGCTGTTGTTTTTCCTTCTGTACTATTTACTTGAACCACCATCCCCACCTGCGGCGATAATTGCTTAATTGTTCAGAAGGGTTCTCTTTTGTTAGATTTTTTTTCTTCTTTTGTGTTCCTGATGTGTGGCTGCCTGCTGCTGGTTTAGGTCAGTTGGGACTGAACACGCATGGCTTGACTTTCTTCCAAATTCATGGTCTACGAGTTGGAGGTCTAGGCAACCCTGTTTTGATATTCTGTAGCAATGTTCCTTGAAAGCTCGTTGCGTCTTGCTTTTTGTGCTTCTAAAGCTTTGAGTGACCCCCCCTCTGAATTTTTTTGTACAATTTCCACACTCTTTTGAGGAGTTTTTCTACATAGTTTTCATTTATGAGCCCTTTTGGAAAAATGTGGAGCTTTCAGCAGACATAAGAAATTCACCCAATTCGCAGTACCACACACCAGTTCTCAATTATTTCCAAAAAGGGATTCCTTCATTGGTTATTGAGTTCTGATTGTATGAATACCCAGTTGTAATGACTGTGTACTTTTATTGTAGGCTCTTATTGTGAAGATGATTTTCTGTTTAGTGTGTCGCTTCAAGGTTAGCGCCAGAAACCAAAAGAAACAAAGGTGCTTACCTCAGGAAGCCACATCTGCAAGCCCGCAACCCCTCTGCAGCCAAACTGATTTGGATGCAAATGTTCGGACCGAAGAGCTTCAGTGACAAGCAGATCTCCTTACGTACTTACTCATCTGGGACACTCTATTGCAGCTTTGCTGCTAAAAATCTGGGGATTTACAGGAAAAAAAAAAAAACGTTAACTGAGCACCTTGATGTTGTAGCTGTATTTGTTGTTGCTGTTGTTTTTTTTTTGTATTCTGTTTATCCTGAGATTTATTTTTTCAACCTGAAGTTTCTGAGCCTTGTCATTATTTCTGAGTAGTGAAAAGTTTGATTAAACTGCTGCTCAAATACCCTAAAGCCTTAATAGTAATTGATAACTATTGTTTAGTATTTTGGCACTTTATGAAAATGTTTTGTTTCAACACCAGTATGACCAATAAGCATTTTGTAACTGTAATTCTCTTCACTTAAGACTGTCCTTCTCAAGCTGAAGTCCTGTTGACACGTGGTTTTCCCTCTATAGATGCATATACACACACACGTGCAAACTTTCGTGTTTGACAGGATCCTTCTCATATCTTTCTGTTTGTGGTTAAGGTTTTGTTCTCATGAGAAACGGAAAGGGATGCTTCGACCCTATGCTATTGCCGAAAATAGAAAATGTTCCTTTTTTTCTTACATTTGGTGGTGTTGAGGGGGTAAAAATCGCAACCCAGGTGGGTATTTCCTGTTGGTGACTTACGACAGTCCCCAGTTCCTCCAATAAAAGACATGCTTGCCTTTATGAAAATACGTTTTAATTATTTTAAAGAAATAAGCTTTCAAGTGGCAGCTCCTTCTTGGTAGTTCCTTTGATAAAAACAACACACTGGAAAACATGTATATATTTTGTTTTTATTTTACTCTTCCTACCATTGTTGGAGTTTTGCTATAGTTTCTTTAGCTCCTGCATCTTGCCTTTTGTCCTGTGGGATTCAGATTCCTGAAGGCAGATTGTAATGTTGTCTAGAATGGTTGTTTACACTTTTATTCATTTTAATTCTGGATACTATGTAAATATTGTAATTTGTTTGTCTTTTTTAACTTGTTATTAAAGATCTGATAACGTTATTATGTTTAGGGTCTTTTTTTCCCTTTGATATTTTTATAAATAAATATTTTGTTCCTATTTTTTCTTTTAGCTGTCCAGTTTAAACAATCACATTAAACTGCTCTAGATTGCAACAGCCCCAACTGTTATGAGTATATTTTCTTTGGTGGCTTGTAGTATTCAATATAGTAAGTTATTGTAGTCAAAATCTATGCAGTGTATAAATGAGAGGAAAAAAATATATATTTTGTATTTAGACATTTCAAATGTCCTGGTTAAATATGTAAACATTTAGACGATGTACTGTATATATGTTGTTTTTAAGGGTGTGTGCGTGCAGGATTCAACCATCAGTGTCCTGGTTTGTTGTTACTCAAGGCAATCTCACTAGATCCTCACACCCCAGCTTTGTAAGCTGTGCAGGCAGGTTTACACTCTGAATTTCATTTTATTTTTGAGAGGATGGGGGCAAGGGAGGGGGCATAGTTATACCTGATGCAACAATGTACAATCTTCAGGAAATCAGAGGGAGAGAACTCTCAAATCTGTCACTAAGTGATAAGCTGCACCTTCCCTGGCACACTGCACTGCAGTCTTACTGCAATGTACAAATTAGGCCATGACTCAAATGATGTTCCTATATATGTAGCCTCACATCTCGCAGTAGCTAAGACTTGAATGATGTCAGGAGGAAGTAAGATACACCATCTGTTATACACTCTCCAGTCTATGTTCATTTATAGAGTTACTTGCGGTTAATACATCCCATCCCAGGTATCTGAGCTTACTCACTGGATTTATTAATTAACATGAGCAAAACATACACAAGCAAGGTGGTATTTTAATATCTGCAGCCTGGTACAAAATTTTCACAAATGAAATAAGGAACCAATTCTCCAAACACACTTCCCCCAAACTAAAGTTTACAGTTGTGACTTTTGCTTTAGTAAAGAAATTATACTTCTCATATGACCTTTAGATGGGCAGTATCAAATATCCTGTATCATTCGCTATTTTGTTAGGTTTCACACAAATCTCTTCAATAGCCTATGCAATCAGCTTGTTGCACTTCGAATCACTAAGTCCCCATTGCTAGTTTCTGCTTTCAGGTTTCATGACTACTCATATCACTGCTACACCCATGATATATGCTTTTACCTCTCTTTCTGCTTCTCTGACACTTGAAACTTTTGCTGGATTGCTGCATATGTCGTGGACGTCTCTTGACAAGGGCTGTATCATTTCTTATCTATCACTTCACCAGGAGCTCACTGTCATACTAAATAACTCAATGACAGTATCATGAAATGTTGTCAAAAACTTTGCTGTCATCCCTGACAAGGACAACACATTCTCTTAACACAGGGCAGCAATAACCTGAACCTGCAGATTTGCTCTATTCAATAACCCAACATTCACCAGTATTTTAGTAAGCTGTCAACCCATATGTTTGTCTAGAGTACTGGAACTATCTAGATGGGCTTATCAAAACCCATCAAATCATTCCCACATAATCGTGTTTTACGCATATTTATGTTCCTCTGTTGTCTAATAGGTGAGGCTTTTACAAGGTTGCAATACCGTATCACATCGCTTCAAGCTCAAACCTTTGCATCACATTGTCTAAAAGCTGGAAATAATTTTTTGGGATTGGACTATTTGCAGTGGGAAAAGGCTCCCATTTTCCCACTGGACTTTAGCCTACTGAATCCCTTCCATGCTTTAAGGACTCAAATGTCATCTCAAACTGAACTTCAGCCCATGTGCTTGTCCCATGTGAGCAAAGCATGTCCCAAAACTATTAACTAGATAAAGCGTACTGACTATATAACTGAAAAAGACAATTTCCCAAATTGCACTAAGATGTCTTCAGCAAATATCCAAGTGGTTATATGGACAGAGAGTAATGTCAATGCTTATAGTGAATAATTTACCCAAAACACAGAAGCGAAATTGAGCAGTGATATCCAGACAACCAAAGTACCCAAAAAGAATGTACGCATACTTCCGGTGTCGTGCTCTCTTGTGCGGAAGCCACGTGTTTCGGGAGCATGCGGCGCATGCGTAGTGGCGTGAGCTGCCTCAGGTTTGTTTATGCTCAGGAAAAAGGCACACAGGATGATGTCGGCGGGTAGGCCGTGATGAGCTAACGGCTAGCGGCAGGAGAGCACTAGAGCGCGTCAGAGAGCCCCGGGAAGCCAAGCGTCGTTGTCAGAATGCAGATTACTCTGAAAACCCTTCAGCAACACACTTTCAAGATCGACATTGACGGAGAGGAGACGGTAAGATCGGAAATGACGCCGCAGTGGGTTGGGATGAGCTGATGGAGTCCATGCGAGCAGACACACGGGAGTATTCTTTAAAGCTCTGGAAACGTGGTCAACAAGCTTGCTGGCTGAACGGTTGCTCGTGTCCTCCCGCCTATTAATATCCGATTCACAACTTTACGAGAACTATCTTAAAAGTTTTGGGGCTAGGTAGCCTTTCACCAAGCTAGTTAGTATCTGAGTGCCGGCGATGGTTCGGGGCTGTGTGCAGGCCAGGCCTGTTCGGTAAATGTAATTTATTATCCACATTACCACGATGTTGCAGTGTACACGTTAGATGATGAGCATTTTAACCTCCACCATCATATACGTAGCAGTTTATTATTATTACTATTATTGTTTTAATACCGCGGCCTTGATCAATCATGTTTAAGCTAACGGCTAAAGAGGCCGCTGAAGTTGGAGGTCTAGGAAAACACCTTTTTTTGAGTCCAGTTTGTTCATAGTTACAATTTCTGGCTCCTGCTGTTCCGGGTAATTGCAGTTTTGTTCGGGTTGTGCTTAGATATTTACCTAATTCAATTACCTGTAGCTGCAACTAGCCAACGACACGTTTCCGAATTCCACCTTTCTAGTATTAGTATCCATCTTTCTCCCAGCGCCCTACTGTAGTGTAGTTACATATTAATATAAAATTTTAATTTCTGTCATTTTAAGCTCACACGGACCCTCTTGTTTCCGGAACTCGTATCTGGTGCTACAGAAGTATCCCCCTGCATCCGCACGTGTCCAAACGTGAAGTCGAAACAGTGAATTTCGGTATTTTTCTGTATAAATTGTGATTCTAATTAATTTATGTTATGTGGTCAAACAGCACCAGACACAAGGAAATGGACGAAATTTTGAGCGCTTACATTAAGTCTAGGAGGAAATAATCTGAGTGAGATTTGACAAAATAAGAATTTGAGCCTTATAAAATCACATAAATCACAAAATCTAACTTGGAAGAACGTAAATTAAGGGTAAAAGTATATTTACAGGTTTCTGACTCCCTGATGGGCATGCTTCATGTTTTTTTCTTTTTAATTTAATGAACTTTAAGATTTTATTGGGCTGCTGACTGAATCATTATTGTGATTTGCACTGATAATATTTAAATCACCATTCCTTAAACTGGCCCTCAGGGATGCTCAGACAGCCCATAGTTCGGTTCAGTTTCAGTTCAGTTTATTTGTCACACGTATGTTAACATAGGATTACAATGGAATTCGTTGGATGAGAAACGAAACAAGGCTCTAAGTTTTGGAGCCCTACCGAAGTTTTAAGGTTGATATTTAAATAAATGTACTTAGAAGATAAGAAAAAGAGAGAATTAAAAAGTCATAAAGAAGTGAATGTATGTGTATGTATACATGGGTGGGTGGGTGTAGTTCAAGCACCAGTATTGCACAATTGAGAAGATGATGTGTAAGTACCAATAATTACCAGTTAGTGGTTGCACAGTTAACACTGCAGACAGAGTTAAGAGTTTTGTGGTATATTGGTGACGGTGCAATGTCGAATCTTTAAGTGTTGGAGTTAAGGACTCTGATGGCCTGATGGTACAAGCTGTTCTTGTGTCTGGTAGCCCGTGCAGCAATGCTTCTGTATCGCCTGCCAGATGATAACAAAGAGAACAGCTGGCATTCTCGGTGGCTGCAGTCCTTCGTGATGCTGTGTACCTTCCACAGGCACCTTTGGGGGTAGAAGGTTTTGCCCCGTCCCAGTTCCCCACTGGACTCCTGTCAATGGTCTAGGGGTCCCCGAGGACAGGTTTAAGAAACATTTACCTTTTGTGCAAAAATTGTAAGTAGGACATCTAGTCTCTTCATATCAGGGAATATCTTTTGTCAGTTTAGCAGTGATTTCACTGCCTGTTCTTGAGCCAGTAGAATTACTGGGGGAGGCATGGGCTGGTTCTGCTCACTGGCTGTTTGCTGCTCATAATAGGCCGGCCTTGGGAAGTTCACCATCTCCGGTCTCTCTTACAGTCTTTTATTGCAGCACTTTGGCTTTACACTGATAGACAACCTGACATGAGTTCAGTGTTTGCAAATTCTGTGTATATCTCTGGTTTCCCTCAGTAGGAGGGAACTCTTTGAATTTCACTATGAAAACTTTACAGCGAAATATAGGGAATGTCTGATTCATAGATTCATAGTGCTAAACACTGGTAGGAAGTGGGGGCCCTTTGCCCAGTTTGAAGTTCCACAGAAAGTGGAACCTGCCAGTTCTGTAAAGGGAGATCAGGTACATTTTAAGAATCCCATTAACCAAAGTTCCCAAAGCTTTTTTTTGTATTTTAAGCATGGTTTGAGTGTGATGATCATTCACTGCAATTCTGACAGGCACCCCTCAAGCCTAAACTAAAACTGGGAGGCTTATAAAGTTTGAAATCATTTGGATTCCTGCATCAGTTCTGGTATGATCTTATTCTGTTCTAAAAATGGACAAACGCATGTTCCAGTCTTTATTAAAAATGCATAGATATTGACAACTTGCTCTTCAAAAATAATCTGTTGATTCAAAACATCAAGAGGAACCTGAGGAGAAGCTGAAGCTGATAAGGCAGCATAGGGTTGCAGATCAATGTTGAAAGACTTGGGTCTCCCATCAGTCTAGTCAGGTAAACAGTGTAGTAAAGGAAGCGATCAGGAAGCAGTGGTACTTTGCTTAGAAGTGGGTGCCCTGCGGTGATCCCAGGAGGAGGTCGC